AGTCAGGGTCTGCTCCCAGAAGCTGCTGGTGGGTTTAAAGCTATGATAAAAAAAAAGTGTCAAATTCAATCCAGTCAGCTGTGAAGTACAAGACTATCATCTAAGCTGCTAGAGTTTTCTTGTAACCTGGCCATTTCTGTTTTGTGTCTTTGGACATTGGCTGTTGTGTCCCTCACCCCGTTTTCCCTAGCTTTGAGGGTATGTTTGATTTGTTTGTTTAAAGACCAAGTTCACTTGTCTTTTCAACACATCTGCAGTGTTCTCAAATATGAATACATGTGAGTTGATCTCACTCTGGCACTCTAGTTCCAGGAACTAGAAGTGAGATAGAGGAGGGGAGCTGAAGATGGCAGGATTTTGACTCTTATTTCCTGATTTGCTGACATCTCCCCGCTGATTGGCTAACAGCAACGTGACTCTAGCACTAAAGCCTGATTCATGCTTCTCCGTCAGCTCCGCAAGGGACAGACACACACGGATTGACGGAAGCGTTTTGCCCTCATACTTCTCCGTCTCCTGGAGAGTGTTGCAAAGCAATTCCCTGGCAGGACAACAGAGGGCGTAGCGCTGTTCTGTGGTATCCTGTCATGTATCGGTCCAAGATAGTGTGTTTATATTGTGTTTTTTTGTATATGAGAAACTTTTAACATGGACAAATTTATGTCTCATCCTCCTCCGCCTCTTCATGCACTCGCCACCTCTAAACCCATGTTTCCTGTCATTTCTGTCCACAAATAAAAAGCTTGCTGCATATCTTTTCACTCCTCCAGTCACGGGGAATTAAACGTTCATATTTTAGAGTTTTTTCGCGAGGTATTCTTCAAGCTTCTCTGTGTCTGCCGCTAGTTATCCTCGGCTCTCTTTATGTTTTAGAGGGCGCAATGGCGGCGCTGTAGACGACAGAGGAGTCCTGACCAATCACAAGCTTGCGTTGTCCGTCTCGACGGACGGATGTTTAGAAAAGAGAGCTCGACTCCGTCCGTCCTTGCGGAGCTCTCCAGCAGGCCCGCAAGGACGTTGCGTGTCTCCGCACTGACGCAGACGGAGAAGCATGAATCAGGCTTTACTCTGCGTGCTCTGCAACATTGATGTTATATCTGAAATGATAATGAAGTGGTAGCACATTTTGAATATTTTAGTACCAACAAATGGTAAATGGCCTGTATTTGTATAGCGCCTTCTTAGGGTTATACAACTCCCCAAGGCACTTCACAACACAATCATTCATTCACACGCTGGTGGGAATGAGCTACAACGTAGCCACAGCTGCCCTGGGGCGCAGTCACAGAGGCGAGGCCTGCAGAACACCGGCACCATCGGACCCTCACACCACTAGCAGGTAAGGTGGGTTAAGTGTCTTGCCAAAGGACACAACAGCAGCATTCTCTGGTGGGAGTCGGAATCAAACCTGCAACCTTCTGATTACTGGACAACCCGCTCTACCTCCTGAACAACTGCTGTCCCTTTACAAAGGAATCCTAAACCTGAATATTAAATATGAAGTTTATGTTCAGCTTAAGTTTCAAGTCTTTGCTGTTATTTTCCTGTTTCTTTATGACATTCGAACCCTGTTCTTTCACTGTAGTACCAACATATTTGTCTTTGACCTCTATCTTGTCAACTTTCCTCATTTTTTAGCACAAATTACAATGTCACGCGTGCCGGTGAAGTAAGCCGAGGAAAGGCGAGGATCCAGACCGGGGAGGAAGCAGGCAGACAGGTAGGATTCACTAAACAGGTTTATTAGGACACACTCTGGGCAATGAAACAATGACTCGACACAGGACACAAAACAGACGGGGTTTAAATACAGGAGGACCGGGAGCTAAGGTGATTGGGAAACAAGAGGCAGGTGGGAGTAATTAACGAGACACAGAGCTGAAATAAACAGGGCGAAAGGACAGGGTGTGACAGTACCCCCCCCCCCCCCCCCCCCCCCAGGGCAGATCCCAGACGCCCACAGGACCAAGGAGCAGGGCGGGTGGAGGGGAACCTGGAGGGAGGGCCCAGAAGAACCGAGGGACCGCCGGAGAGGCTGCAGGGACCAGCAGAGTCCGGGGGCCTGCGCCTGCGGCAGAAGAGGCGGCGACGGGCCCTTGGAGGCCGGCGCCTGCGGCAGAAGAGGAGGCGACGGGCCCTTGGAGGCCGGCGCCTGCGGCAGATGAGGAGGCGACGGGCCCTTGGAGGCCGGCGCCTGCCGCAGATGAGGAGGCGACGGGCCCTTGGAGGCCGGCGCCTGCCGCAGATGAGGAGACGAGGACGGACCCTTGGGGGCCTGCGTCTGCGGCAGAGGAGGAGACGAGGACGGACCCTTGGGGGCCTGCGTCTATGATAGAGGAGCTCTGCAGGCTGGGCGGGTGACAAAGTCTCTGCAGGCTGGGCCGGTGACAAAGTCTCTGCAGGCTGGGCTGGAGCGACCTTCAAAACCACCATCGGAACTGGAGACGGTGGAGACGTTGGACTGGAAGGAGCGTCAACCTCTGGAGTGCAGAGAGCATCCTCAGACGAGGCGACGACTTCAGACGAGGAGACAACGTCAGAGGCGGCGACGACGTCAGAAGAGGCGACGTCAGAAGAGGCGACGTCATCAGAGGAGGCGTCGTCGTCAGAGGAGGTGTCGTCGTCAGAGGAGGCGTCGACTTCAGAGGAGGCATCGACTTCAGAGGAGGCCTCGCCATCAGAGGAGGCGACGTCGTCAGACAAGCCGACTTGAGAGGCGACGTCATCAGACAAGCCGACTTGGGAGGCGTCTTCATCATACGAGCCAACTTGGGAGACGTCTTCATCAGATGAGCCGACTTGGGAGACGTCATCAGAGGAGACGACTTCGGACACGTCGACTTGGGAGACGACTTCAGAGGAGACGACTTCTGACACACCGACTTCGGAGACGACTTCAGAGGAGACGACTTCGGACTCGACTTCAGAGGAGACGACTTCGGACATGTCGACTTTGGAGACGACTTCAGAGGAGACGACTTCGGACACGTCGACTTCGGAGACGACTTCGGACACGTCGACTTCGGAGACGACTTCAGAGGAGACGACTTCGGACATGTCGACTTCAGAACAGGAAGGGGCGTCCACTTCAGAACAGGAAGGGGCATCGACTTCAGAACAGGAAGGAGCGTCGACCACAGGACCGGACCGGGCGTCGACCACCATCGACTTCTGGTCCGGGGGCGTCGGCTTCGGGTCCGGGGGCGTCGTCTTCTGGCCCGGGGGAGTCTGCTTCTGGTCCCTTGACTTCTGGACCGCCGACTTTTGGACCGGATCCGGTACCGTCTGCTTCCGGGCCGGTACCCTCTGCCTCTGGGCCTGCTCCGTCGGCTTATGGGCCGGTACCGTCTGCTTCTGGGCCCGATCCGTCAGCTTCTGGGCCGGTGGAAGAGCCGCTGCTGGGAGAGCTGGGAACGATGAGGAGAGGAGGGAGGTCAGATCGTCCAGCTGTAGCTCCCTGAGGCTAAGCGTCTGACGGAGCTGGACCAGCTCAGCCCGCTGACCGGCGAGCTCCGCTGGGTGAACCCCGGGCTCGCTCCTCTGGCCCTGAGACGAAGAGGATAGAGCGTCCAGGTGAGACTCCTGGAGGCTGATGAGCTCGCGGAACCGGCCGAGCTCCGCCTGGAGCTCTATCAACCGGGCTGCGATTGCTGCTCCTCCCCCTGCAGACGACGGAGGCGCCGGTTCGGCAGGAGACGGGACTTGTGGTCTGGCCGGGGGCGTGTCCGAACAGCCGCGCCGGGCAGGGGCAGAAGCGAGCTCACAGCTCCGTCTGGAGACCCTGGATGGTGGTGGAGTCCGGCGTCTTTCCCCACGCCGTGGACCGACTCCGGGGGAGCAGATGGCCAGCCTCCTGCCCTCATAGCTGGAGCGATCCTGGAGCGTCTCCCGGTCCACACTCACATCCGGTTCCAGGAGGGTGGCGAGGATAGCCGAGGGTGCAGGTCGGTGCCATCGTCTGCGGCGAGGCGGATCTGGAGCAGAAGGAGATGGAGAAGCTGGCCTGTGGTCGGACGTGAGCCACTGGAGAAGGCAACTCCACGGGAGAATCTCCCCGCTGGATCCATTACTGGGTCGAGTCATTCTGTCACGCGTGCCGGTGAAGTAAGCCGAGGAAAGGCGAGGATCCAGACCGGGGAGGAAGCAGGCAGACAGGTAGGATTCACTAAACAGGTTTATTAGGACGCACGCTGGACAATGAAACAATGACTCGACACAGGACACAAAACAGACGGGGTTTAAATACAGGAGACCGGGAGCTAAGGTGATTGGGAAACAAGAGGCAGGTGGGAGTAATTAACGAGAGACAGAGCTGAACTAAACAGGGAGACAGGACAGGGTGTGACATACAATAAGCTGTTGTGTTTCGGGACAAGGGCCAAGAATGCAGGAAAAATCCATCAAAGTTCAAAGAAAAAAGTATAAAAATGTTTTAGAAAACCAGAAGAATTAATGATCAAAACAATTTTAAACTGTTACAGGACAAAAAAAAACCCAAAATTTTAAATTAAAGTTCCTCCTGTTGAAGGTTTCTTCCTGGTAAAGGGGACTTTTCCTCTCCACTGTCGAACTCTGACTCGATGCAATCTGCTGGGTTCCTTAGCATTTAGTTAATCGGCATAACGAACAGAAGTCAGTGCACTGGTGTGTTAGCCTAGTGAACTAGAACAAATTCTTGCTTTGCAAATATTCACATATATAGTCTGGCTTGCCAGGCTACTGGTGTGTAGGTTCAAATGGAATGTTTGCTTTGCAAAGTGCTTTGAGACGAGTCGTGAATTTGTGCTTTAAAAAAAACTTTATTTGAATGTGTGTGTGTTTTCTCTAAATCATTGGGTTTCCTGTCAACAGGTTGCTCAGCATATTACTCAGCATTTAGTAAAAGTGAATGTGAGTCAGAGCAAAGGAGAGGAGGAGAGGAGGAGGGGAGTCATTAGGGAGGAGGAGGGACAGATAGTATGAGAGTGAGGAGTAGTATGAGAGTGAGGAGTAAAAAAAGGAGAGTGTTGGACCTGCAGCCTGCAGAACAACAGACAGCGAGAGAGAAAGAGAGAGCAGCAAACACACTCAGAGAGGGTAACCTTAACTCACAGAGACAGAGAAGCAGGAACCAGAAGCATGTTTCACCGCAGGCTCCCTGAAGCAGTGTGTGTGCTATCGGTCTGTGTGTGTGTGTGTTTAGCGGTGGCCTACGAGGATGACATTGAGATCAACTTCGCTGACTCTTACTTCAATGAAATCACTGAAGTGGACGCACCAGAAGGTAAGTTTGAAGAAAAGAACACGTTTATTCTGCAACAACGATTAGAAGGTGAAATGTGAAAGAGAACTCCAGATCATGAAACTTTTTATTGGATTTAAAGAGGAACGTGTTCGGCTGTGAGGTGAGATCAGGACACTGATTTACGTCATCACGTGAAAATGAGTAAGAAGGAAAACGTGGATAAAAATCTGAACATTTCAAAGGTTTTGTTGTTTTTATTTCTGGATTTTTATCATGATAGGAACAAGATAAGGAAAAGGAGAAAAATGACAAATGTTTCTGTTTCAGAGCCAAACACCTTACAAGAATTGATTAAGTTTCAAACATCATATGTGATATAGTGCTGCCATTTTCTGATAATACAGCTGATATCTGGTTCATTTTGTTCAGTTCAGGTTAGTTTGTACACAAGATGAAAAAAGAACGTGTCAAAATAACCAGATATCTAAAAAAAAGTTGGATGAGCTACGTGAAAAGTAGAAGTTTGGAGAAGCCTAAAGATAAACTGTGTGTGTGTGTGTGTGTGTGTGTGTGTGTGTGTGTGTGTGTGTGTGTGTGTGTGTGTGTGGTTTTTGTGTGTGTGTGTTAACTCGACCCTTCACAGCTTGCTTTCTGCCTTTGTTTATTTTTCTAAACCTTGCAGGAGGTACAATTGCAGCCCTGGCGGTTAACAGGCAGAAATCTGGGCATGCCGCCTGTTACGTGATTAAATGTGATCGAGGGCAAAATCGCTGAGTGAATGAGAAGTAAAATACACACACAAATTAGAGCAGGGAAAGAGGGGGAAATGGGTAAAGCTACACAGAATTTATAATGAGCTGGCTGTGGGAGGGAGAGGAAAGGTCAGACACGTGAGCTGAGTTTGTTTGCAGGTGTGTCAGGAAGAGGGGAGGTCAAAGGCTGGGGGGGAGATACAGGTCACTTGTTCTAACCCACTCAAAGCTCTGAATCTCAGTAAGGAATCTGAATTAATAGGCAACATGAGAGAGGTCACGACACGTCTCAGTTTCACATGAACGACGGGCTGAAGGGCGACGTTTAGCAGAGCAGAAAACCAGTGAGCTGGGATGTGTTTTCTCCTCTTTGGTGGAAAAAGGGTGAAGATTCCTACTGAAAGCTGCTGTGTGGTGTGGAGGTGTTTGGACCCAGAGGCAGGTTAAAAAGGGCAGAAGATAGGCAGGTAAATCCAGGAGCTTTATTTCAGTTAAAGATCTAGTTTTACCAAAAGGAATGTGGATTGCACATCCCCTTTCATGCCACACTTAGAAGCTAAGATCATCTTTTGTTGAGAAGCAACAAAAGTTATAGCTGCCTAAGTCAAATCTTGAAAACATCACGGGGTTAAATGTCTGTCACCCTGACGTCTGGGATCTTGAACTTCTGGTGTTGGAGCATCTAAAGGACATCACAGGCTTCCTGCAGTTTGCTTAACAGGCAAACGGATCTGTAGATGATGCAGTCAACCTGGGTCAACTCATCCTCAAGCAGCTTGAACATCCAGGAACCTATGCCAGGATCCTGTTTGTATACATTAGTTTGGCCTTTAATACCATCAGCCCATCAGAAACTAACCCAGCTCTCAGTTCTGGCCTCTATCTGTCAGTGGATCACCAGCTTTCTGACTGACCAGCAGCAGCAGGTGAGGCTGGGAAACCTCTTCTTCTGCCCAAACACCATCAGCACCGGTGTCCCTCAGGGGTGTGTTCTCCCCCCCTACTCTTCTCCTCCATACACAAACAACTGCACCTCAGTGGACCAGTCTGGGAAGCTTCTGAAGTTTGTAGATGACACCACTGTCATCTACTAGAACCAGAGATGGTTCCCACACATATATACTGTCAGGAAGAAGGGTCCAGCAGAGACTGTACTCCCTGCATCAACTAAAGCCTGATTTATGCTTCTCCGTCTGCGTCAGTGCGGAGACACGCAACGCCATTATCCGTCCTTGTGTAGGGCTCTGGCAGGCACGCAAGTACGTACGGAGTCGAGCCCACTTTTTTAAACATCCGTCGAATGAGACGGATTACGCAAGCTTGTGATTGGTCAGGACGCCGCTGTTGTTTAAAGCGCCGCCATTGCAAAGAGAGCCAAGGATAACTGGCGGCAGACACGGAGAAGCTTGAAGAATACCTCGCGAAAAAACTCTAAAAATATGAACGTTTAATTCCCCCGTGACTGGAGGAGTGAAAAGATGCACAGCAAGCGTTTTATTTGTGGACGGAAATGACAGGAAACGTGGGTTGAGAGGTGGGGAGCGCATGAAGAGATGGAGGAGAATGAGAGACAAATATGTCCGTGTTAAAAAGTCTCTTATATACACAAAAAACACAATATAAACACACTATCTTGGACCGATACATGACAGGATACCACAGAACAGCGCTACGCCCTCTGTTGTCCTGCCGGGCAATTGCTTTGCAACACTCTCCAGGAGACGGAGAAGTATGAGAGCAAAATGCTTCCGTCAATCCGTGCGTGTCTGTCCCTTGCGGAGCTGACGGAGAAGCATAAACCAGGAAGTACTGCCTCCCAAAAGAACTACTGGTCATCTGCTATTCCACCATCCATCGCTGTCCACATACATCACTGGGTGGTTTGGCTCAACCACTAAACATGACGGGTCCAAACAGCAAATAGTCAGGTCTATAGAGAGGACCATCGTAGCTCAGCTTCCCTTAGTCCAAGATCTGAAGGCCTACAGGTCCAGAGCCACGAAAAGAGCAGCCAACATCTCTGTGGACCCTATACACCTCGCTAACAATCTTTTCAACCTTTTACTGTCAGGTCGGTGCTACTGAGCGTGTGAAACTGAAGCCAAATCCTTGATCTTGGACAATATTACTCATTTTGATTCAACCTCACTCAATCACTCAGAACATATCTTGTGGATGATTCTCATCTTCTATTATGCCAAATCTCAGCTCAATATTTGTTAAATTTACCCGTGTTGGGGTATGTTTTGCTAACTAGCTGTGGTGGCCATCTTGGATTGGGTTTAGTTATAAATGTAAATCTAGTGTTTGCTTTCTGCACATTTTCATAAAACTATCCAGTAGTTCTTGAGATATTTTGCTAACAGACAGACAGGGTTGATTCCAGCATTTACATTTTTAAACAAAGATGTTTCACGTGTAGAGCTCTGTGGTAGAGATGATTTTCAGTCACCCTAACACCAAATTTTTGCTCAATGCATCTGACAGAGTTAAAAAAAAGTTTCATGTTTGCTGATTAAGAATCCTAAATTGGACTGACGGGCACAAGAAAGAACTTTACTGCCTGTTTTTTTTTTTACCTTCTGATTAAATGATAAAAGAAAATCTGGATGAGCACACCAAAATGAACCAGAGGGACAAAGTAAGAACTTGAGGATCTGCTGAAAAACAAAGTAAATCATGACTTAGTGGAGGAGTAAATGACAAAAGAACATCTGGGCAGCAATCAGAGTGTGAAACAGGAAGACAACAAATGTGGATTGTCGTTTTCAAAATGAAACAATTTACAGAAAAACCTGAAGATAAAGAATTATTTACACATGAAGCAACCCAGAGTCAACTAAATTCAGATCATTCAAAAACTTTAAATCAACACTGAAAGCACAACAGCTATCAGTCACTCCACTGGAAAAAAATATCCCATTTTAACATGTTTTATTATTAGACCCAAAAGTGCATAAATAACCTTTATTTATCTTACTTTGAACAGGCTTTGGGAGGTAAAAACAAACAGTGAGGGCCCCCCTGGAGTATCTCTGCAGGTATAAACAGAGGCAGAGGGGCTCAAATGTTAACCAGAACAGCATGTGTGACATCTACATATTCCTACTTCTTGTTGCTTTAACCCTCAGCGTTGTTTTATCCCCTGAGATCACCACCAACCCACAGAGATTTCCCTTTCCTTATGTTATCTCTGCCCTTCACCCAGCAGCTCCTCTCCATCGTTTCCTTCCGTCTTGCTCCTCACTCACAACACAAAGCTGTATATTCTCACAGGAAGGGCTGCTGTCAGAACTGCTGCTTTCATATGGAAATAGTTCCACTTCCTTCTCATGTTCTCTTCTGGCAACTTGATATCCTCATTTGTTTCCCACCTGGGCTTTTCCACCTCTCTGGGATCTGAAGCTACAACAATTTAAGTACATTGTTCTTGAAAATGTGAAATTTTGCCAAAGAAGTCTTAGTTAGAATATATTAGTTAAACCTGTCAAGACTGAACTGAAAATCTCCAAACTTTTATCTGCAGTCACACCAAGTACAGCCCCCTGCGGTACTCCAGATCTGACAAAATGGGAGAAAATCTTCACCATGTTGGAGAACAGCCAGATGAGGGAGAACATGCTGCTTCAATATACTGATGAAATCATCAAGGTGGAGATGGGGTCACTGCGTGGTGAAATACTCAGGTTGGTTGGAAGGAAAAATAAAAAATATGAAATAATTTAACAAATTAGAGGCCAAACATGTTGAAATATGATCAACTTTGTGGATTTTTTGTCACACTATTATTCAGGTTTGGGAAAAACATATGAAAAAGCAAAATAACTCTTAAATATATTGTTTGTAACTTTTCTCCAGAATCTAAACTATTAATGTCTTTTTGAATTGCCTCAGTTTGGAGAAATTGAGATTAATTCTGACAGTGTGCTAACAGCTAGTCTGAATGCAGCTGTGACTAAAGTGGACTATGCTAACCATTTCAAACTGTAAACCTTTACAAGTACTTCATTTAGCTACATAATGTTATTCACACTGAATTCTATGGTTATTATCAAGCACAATAAGCAGAAGCAGCAGATGGCTGGAGCAGTTTTCTGCAGCCTGAAGGCACTCGTAGCAGAGATAAGCAAATATTTTTACCACAATAAAGCCCACAGCACTAAAAAATTGTGTTTTTAGGTTGGTCTTGGCAAAGCTAAAACTAGCTGTTAGCTTATCAATCTGTTCAAAGCTTAATTAGGATTTTTTTTCTGTTGAGTAAAAGCTAAGAACATCCAAACTGTAGCCTTGCTGAGTTGTTTTAAATGCAGGTTAATCACTAATTCAGAATAACTAGAGATGCACGAGGAAATTGGCTGGTGACTGGAAATCTTAATCCATTCTAGCTAATAATAGTGACAAGTGATTTTGGACAAAGCTTAGCTACTAAATTAAGTAATTTTAGCAGAAAATTAAAAAGTTCCCTTAAAATGTTCTAATCTTTCTCACTGGTCAGGCTCGTAGCCCAGTACGGTGGGTCCTGTGGGTCTGCAGTGGAGGCTACAGGAAAACGGATGGCTTTGCAGCTGGAGGCTCATCTCAAAGAGACTCTAGAGCAACATAAAATTGGTGGTCAGACCTCTGCTGCTGGGAACTCTGTGGAGAATTTCCACCACCTGGAGGCCTTGCTACAGCAGCTGCTCTCCGCGGTGCGTACACAGTCATCCCGTCTCTCCAAGCTGGAGAGCAGCTGCCTCAGCGGCCCAGCAGGAGCTGGGATAAGGACGATGACCAAGAATGGATTCCATCTCCAAGGGGGCGAAGTGACTGGGCACAGTCAACAAGAGGTGACAACGAAGGAGGCTGCTTTAGACGGGGTGCTGGCTGCACTGCAGAGGGTGAAGGAAGAGCTGGAAGAAGTGCAGAAGTCATCAAGGCAAAGATACCTGCCTGCAGGTGAAACATCTGTCATGTTTAGTCTCCTTATCTCTGTGTTCTGTCTCTTCTGCTGACACATTCAGGTCATGGTTCAGAAAATATACCACACGTCTTTTGGGTCTGACTTCTAAAACTACAGCTTCTCAGAAACTCATCGCATGTAATATCAGCATCCCTTAAAACTGTCAAGACAAGGAAGATGGGCCAGCAGACAGAAATGTGGTCAGCTATGAAAATCCACTTTGACAAGTCGCTCCTTAAGATGGGAATAAATAGAATTATTCATGTAATGAAGTGACTGTGGTCATAATTTTAGAGGTCAGAAAAGTTGGTTAGATCTACAAAACCAGGGGATGGGGTGGTCACTCATCACAGAAACCTCAACAGTGTAGAAAATAAAACCAGATGGAAACACACACACACACACACACACACACACACACACACACACACACACACACACACACACACACACACACACACAATGAGTGGCAGTAACCTGAGACATCAATATTTGGGATATTCAGTTTTAGTCGACTGTGAGGGTGAAGGCAGACTGGAGTGACAGAGAGAAACAAAGGGGAGAAAAAAATGTATGAAAAAGAAAGAAAAGAAAACATCCTAAACTGACTAGTCTCTCACTGAGAAGCCCACTTAGTGTGGGCTTTATAAGTCCAGTACCAGCTGCTTCAGCGTCTGAGGATTTTGTCTCACGTTAAGAAAATAGAAGGTCTCCTGGGATTGTTCAGGAAACACCAATGTTTGCCCTCTCCACCAACAATAAAGAATGTGATTGGGCGTCAGAGCCGTGTTTTTTTAACATCTTTACCTTTCTTTCTTAGCCTGGCATGCCAGACTTAAAAATATTTCTTACTCCCTCTAAACCTGATTATCTGACATGATTTGAGACTTTTAAATATCAAACTGTCATCACAAAAAACCATAAAGTAAAGGGATTGAAGAGATTCTGCCTCTTTGTGCTGAAAAACACCAAATGTGTCCTAAGTGGTCGTCGTCGTCTTCCTCCGTTTATCCAGGTCCGGGTTGCGGGGGGGCAGCATCCCAACTAGGGAGTTCCAGACCGTCCTCTCCCTGGCCACCTCCACCAGCTCCTCCGGCAGGACCCCAAGGCATTCCCGGACCAGATTGGAGATGTAACCTCTCCAACGTGTCCTGGGTCGACCCGGGGGCTTACTGCCGGCAGGACATGCCCGAAACACCTCCCCATGGAGGAGTCCAGGAGGCATCCTGACCAGATGCCCAAACCACCTCAACTGACTCCTTTCGATCCGGATTAGCAGCGGTTCTACTCCGAGTCCCTCCCGAATGCCCGAGCTCCTCACCCTATCTCTAAGGCTGAGCCCGGCCACCCTACGGTGGAGACTCATTTTGGCCGCTTGTATCCGCGATCTTGTTCTTTCGGTCATTACCCAAAGCTCATGACCATAGGTGAGGATTGGGACATGGATCGACCGGTAAATCGAGAAGCTGGCTTTCTGGCTCAGCTCCCTTTTCACCACGACAGATCGGCTCAGCGTCCGCATCACTGCAGACGCCGAACCAATCCGCCTGCCGATCTCCCAATCCCTCCTACCCTCACTCGTGAACAAGACCCCAAGATACTTAAACTCCTCTCCCGACCCGGAGTTGGCAAGCCACCCTTTTCTGGTCGAGAACCATGGTCTCAGAATTGGAGGTGCTGACCCTCATCCCAGCCGCTTCGCACTCGGCCACAAACCTACCCAGCAAGAGCTGAAGGTCAGAGCTGGATGAAGCTAGGAGGACCACATCATCCGCAAAAAGCAGAGATGAGATTCTCCTGCCACCAAACTCGACACACTCCACACCACGGCTGCGCCTAGAAATTCTGTCCATAAAGGTAATGAACAGAACCAGTGACAAAGGGCAGCCCTGGTGGAGTCCAACCCTCACCGGGAACAGGTCCGACTTACTACCGGCTATGCGGACCAAACTCATGCTCCTCTGGTAAAGGGACTGAATGGCCCTTAACAGAAAGCCACCCACCCCATACTCCTGGAGCGTCCCCCACAGGGTGCCCCTGGGGACACGGTCATAAGCCTTCTCCAAATCCACAAAACACATGTGGATTGGTTGGGCAAACTCCCATGCCCCCTCCATCACCCTTGCAAGGGTATAGAAATGGTCCACAGTTCCACGGCCAGGACGAAAATCACATTGCTCCTCCTCAATCTGAGATTCAACTATCGATCGGACCCTCCTCTCCAGTACCTTGGAGTAGACCTTTCCAGGGAGGCTGAGGAGTGTGATCCCCCTATAGTTGGAACACACCTTCAGGTCACCCTTCTTAAAGATGGGGACCACCACCCTGGTCTGCCACTCCACAGGAACTGCCCCCGATGACCACGCAATGTTGCAGAGACGTGTCAACCATGACAGCCATACAACATCCATAGCCTTGAGATACCCAGGACAAATCTTATCCGCCCCCGGTGCTCCGCCGCTGTGTAGTTGTTTGACTACCTCAGCAACTTCTGCCCCCGAGATTGGACAGTCCATCCCCAGGTCTCCCGGCTCTGGTTCCTCCTCGGAATGTGCGTAGGTGGAATTGAGGAGCTCCTCAAAGTATTCCTTCCACCGTCCAATTATAGCCCCAGTTGACGTCAGCAGCTCCCCATCCCCACTGTAAACAGTGTGAGCGAGTTGCTGCCTCCCTCTCCTGAGGCGCCGGACAGTTTGCCAGAACCTCTTTGGAGCCGATCGATAGTCTTTCTCCATGGCCTCACCAAACTCCTCCCACGCCTGAGATTTTGCCTTTGCAACTGCCACTGCTGCACCCCACTTGGCTATCCGGTACCTGTCTGCTGCCTCCGGAGACCCACAGACCAGCCACGCCCTGTAGGCCTCCTTCTTCAGCCTGACGGCTCCCCGAACCTCTGGTGTCCACCAGCGGGTACGGGGGTTGCCACCACGACTGGCACCGGCCACCTTGCGACCACAGCTAGAAACAGCCACCTCAACAATCGCAGAGTGGAACAAGGCCCACTCGGAGTCAATGTCCCCCACTGCTCTTGGGATGCGGTCAAAGCTCTGCCGGAGGTGGGAGTTGAAACCGTCTTGACAGGTTCTTCTGGCAGGCGTTCCCAGCAGACCCTCACTATGCGTTTGGGTCTGCCAGGTCTACGCGGCATCTTCCCCTGCCATCTAATCCAACTCACCACCAGGTGGTGATAGCTCCGCTCCTCTCTTCACTCGGGTGTCCAAAACATTCAGCCGCAGGTCAGATGATATGACTAAAAAGTCTATCATCGACCTGCGACCTAGGCTGCCCTGGTACTAAGTGTACCGATGGGCATCCTTATGTTAGAAAATGGTGTTCGTTATGGCCAAACTGCGGCTTGCACAGAAGTCCAATAACGAAACACCACTCGAGTTCAGATCAGGTGGACCGTTCCTCCCAGTCACACCCCTCCAGGTCATGCTGTCATTGCCCACGTGAGCATTGAAGTCCCCCAGCAGGACAATGGAGTCCCCTGATGGAGCACTATCTAGCACTCGTCCCAGGGACTCCAAAAAGGGTGGGTACTCTGAACTGATATTTGGCCCATAAGCACAAACAACAGTCAGGACCCGTTCCCCAACCCAAAGGTGCAGGGAAGCTACCCTCTCGTCCCCCGGGGTAAACCCCAACACACAGGCAGAGAGTCTTGGGGCTAACAAAGAGCCACCCCCAGCCCTCCGCCTCTCACCCAGAGCAACGCCAGCAAAGGAGAGTGTTCAACCCCTCTCAAGAACTTGGGGTCCAGAGCCAATGCTATGTGTCGAGGTGAGTCCGACTATATCTAGCCGGTACCGCACAACATCTGCCACAAGCTCCTGCTCCTTCCCCGCCAGCAAGGTGACGTTCCATGTCCCAAAAACCAGTTTCCTTTTCCGGGGATCGGACCACCAAGTCTCCCGCCTCGGTCTGCCACCCGATCCACACTGCACCGGACCCTTCATGTTCCTCCTGCGGGTGGTGGGTCCACAGTTGGATGAGCCCATGTATCCGGTTCGGGCTGGGCCCAGCCGGGCCCCATGGGCAAAAGCCCAGCCACCAGGCGCTCGCTCATGGGCCCCAACCCCTGGCCTGGCTCCAAGGTGGGACCCCGGTAACCCTCCGGGCCGGGTACTCACACTCCTTGAAAGTTTATCCATGAAAGATCCTCTGAACCGTTTTTTGTCTCACCCTTCACCTAAGACCAATTTGTTATGGGAGACCCTACCAGGGGCACAAAGTGCCCCAGACAGCATAGCTCCTAGGATTATTAGGGCACTCAAACTCCTCCACCACAATAAGGTGACGGTTCAAGGAGGAGGTGTCCTAAGTGGTGACACCCATTCCTGGTAAATGTAAATGTAAAGAGCTATCTGCCTGGCTCTTCTCTAAGTTCATGGACTCACTGGAACAACATCCTTAAAGATAAAGTGTATTTTATTCGTTATACTGGTGACATTTAACCTTTATTTCACCAATAAAACTACAAAAACACACAACAAGCAAATAACTTCAATAAATCCTGTCCTATTTTGTTGTGCAGGTTGTGAGATGGCGTTGCTCTTCCCAATGCGTTCCCGTCGGATCTACACTGCCGTCATTCCAGCTGTCCCTCTGTCCCTGTCCTCTTTCACTGTCTGCATGTGGGTCAAGCCAACCACTGTGTCTAACAAAACGGTCCTTTTCTCCTACGGAAACCGCCGTAACCCGTATGAGATCCAACTGCTGCTCGCCCAAACCTCCGCCCTTTTCACAGTGGGAGGAGAAGCTCACCTGGTGGAGGAACGAGATGTGGTGAATCCGGGACAATGGACCCACCTGTGTGGAGCTTGGTCTTCTGGGCAGGGCCTGGCGACACTGTGGGCAGATGGTAAGAAGGTTGCATCCTCGCCCGGTGTGGCCGAAGGACACGTCCTACCAGACGGAGGTTCGGTCCAACTGGGACAGGAGAGGAATGGCTGCTGTGGGAGCGCTGTTGCTGGGTTTGAGGAAGGATTCGATCCAAAGCTGGCGTTTGCCGGGAAGATGACTGGGGTGAACATGTGGGACAGCGTGCTGACAGAGGAGGAAATTTCCCAGCTGGCTTTGAGGCAAGGCCAGGGCTGTGAGCAGAGAGGGAGTATGGTGGCATGGGGCGTGACGGAGATGGTGCCACATGGAGGTGCTCAGTTCATTCACTGATTCACATCCATCATGATCCATCGCAAAAATCATTTCAACCTGAAATTGAGGACACTTTCATCTCCTCTGTTACCAAATCTACAGATTTTTATTACAAAGACTGCAATGTACATCTTTGTTGATATTTCCATGAGCTAGACCAATACTGTGAGACTAAACTTTTTAAAAAACATATCACTTTGCATTTACACACATTCACACGTTCAGTTCAGAAAACGTGTGTTGCTGCAGGAAAAACGTGCTGCAATCAGCAATTACCAAAGATTTTCATTAGAGTGCGAGCTAGACAACAAGTCTTTTGTTAAGCTGAGACACTCCTGAGCCAGTGAACACAGTGATGAGCAGACATACAAACTGGGAAGGTGAAGAGGAGGTCCTCCTTTGATTGTAGGACGCTGCATATCTCCCTCTTTTCTTTTATGCTTTGTACAGAAACAGCAAGTGCAGTTAAACGAGTCCCAACTATGTTATTATTACAACTGCAGGCAGAGGTAACATCTATATTAACATTACTTCTAATAATGCAACACATATATAACTTCTACTGTTTGCAGCACTTGCACGACTGCATATCGGCTGTACTTGCCTTCATTTTCAACCCGAACAACAAAGTGGTTTTATTGTTTTTATCTCCTCCACATTTGTGCAAGATTTAAAATGACTTTAAAACTCTAAGTGTTTACATTATTATGTTACATAACATTGTTTTTGCTATTATTGCTCATTTAATTGTATAACTTTTGTCATTTTTATATTAAGTGTAAACCAGTTCTTTTGAATTATAGAAAGTGAGAATAATGTTTGCAAGCTCTCATCTTGTATTCCTACTCTTGTATAGCTCATTTGCTTGTATTATACTGTAAATTGCATTTGTCAAAGTGAAAAGCAGAATGTATTTTGTACATAGATATTTTTGCATAGCACGTGTGGATGAGTGGAAGGTAAAGTAGGAATAAACAGTTAAAGTGTCAACATTTTTGATCAATTGTGTTTCCTCTTATTTAGAGTTGAGGCCGACCGATATGGTTTTTTTTTTAAGGCCAATGCTGATTTTTAAAGAATTTAGGTGCCTTTGGCCGATATCTAAAGCCAATTATTTGGCTGATATTTATACCTTTTAGCAGCACATTGATTGTGAAAGACAACTGAACACTCACTGTATGCAATATAAATTTAAAAAGTTAATAAATCTCTAAATATTTATTGAACTTCAAATATAAAATGAACTCAAAACATTAAAAAAGTGGTGCGTCAGGGTCCTTCGGTCCTTTCTTCAGTCTTGTAGTGGCAGTGGTTGGCCACACATGTGCCTGATTTTATTTATTTTTAAATATCGGCCTTTAAAAATAATTTTGGTCAGTGGCCGAAATAGAAAAAAAAATGTATGTATCGGCCGGCCGATATATTGGTCGGCTTCTAATTTAGATTAATTTTTAATAAAAAAGATCACTTTTTATTTGTTAAAGGGCTTAAATGTGGGTGTTAATCAAGTAAGAATTACCCACAATACTTTATGGAAAATGAGGTAATTATACATAACATTAATAGTATTTTGTGAATGTGGGACCGAAACTGGCTGAAATAATCTATACTCCTCAGTTAGAGGAGGGAGGGGGAGGTGCTGAGGATTTAATAGAAATCAACCCAGTTTCTGTGTTTCTGAATCCGGTAACAGAGAGGGAAATTATTGATATAGTTGGTAGTTGTCAGAGCAAAACATCTACAGACTGAAATGACATAGACATGTCTTTGATAAAGAAGGTTATAGAGGTTATTGTGCAACCATTGACTTATATTTGTAACCTGTCCTTCACAGCTGGTTTATTTCCATGTAAAATGAAAACAGCTAAGGTTATTCCACTATACAAAGATGGAGACAATAAGCCATTTACTAATTATAGACCAGTTTCATTATTATCGCAATTCTCAAAAATCTTAGAAAAGCTATTTGTCAATAGGCTGGATGAATTCACTGGAAAACACAATCTGTTATCCAACAGTCAGTATGGTTTCAGAACAAATAGATATACATCAATGGCATTAATAGAAATTGTTGAAGAAATCACCAGTTCTATAGACAATAGGGAATATGCAGTTGGAGTATTTGTAGATTTAAAAAAAGCCTTTGATACAATAGACCATACCGTATTAAATAATAAACTTAAAAAATATGGTATTAGTGGTGTTGTTCTCAGTTGGGTCAGAAGTTATTTAATCAACAGAAATCAATTTGTGCAAATAAATAATTACAAGTCAGAACAGCTTAACATCAATTGTGGGGTACCACAGGGGTCAGTTTTGGGTCCAAAGCTATTTACTTTATAAATCAATGATTTGTGTAAGGTTTCCAGAACATTAAAATGTGTTTTATTTGCAGATGATACAAATTTATTTGCCTCTGGAGAGAATTTGCAAGATCTTTGTAATTTGGTTAACTCTGCTGGAAACCTCACATAAAATATGTTAAAGGAAAGGTAGCACGAAGTATTGGGGTGTTGGGAAAAGCAAGACATTTTGCGAATCAAAAGGCATTGTATATACTGTACTGTACACTGATAGTACCATACCTAACTTACTGTATTGAAGTGTAGGGAAACATCTATAAAAAAAAACTATATGCACTATGTATGTTACAAAAACGAGCCATACGGTTGGCTAGCCATGTTGGATACCATGAACATACCAATAGCTTGTTTATAAAATTACAAATCTTAAAAGTTTAAAGACTTGATAGAATATAGGATTGCATTATTTATGCACAGAGCCAATAAAACAACACTGCCTGATAATATTCAAAGGCTATTTGCAAAGACAAGTGGGATATAATTTGAGAAGGCAATTAAATATGAAGCATCATTATGCTCCAACTAAATTGAAAAGTATGTGTATTTCTCTCAGTGGAGTTATTTTATGGAACAGTCTTGAAGAAAAAATCAAACAAAGTTTAAATATAGTGCAATATAAAAATCATACAAAGAACTGATTTTATCCAGATACAGACAAGAGGATCAATGATTTGTACATGTACTATAGTAATATTATAGATTATTGTTGTTATATTCTGATGTTGATACTTTTGTGTTGTTGTATCGTGATGTTGTACTCAGACGTTGTTGTACTCTGGTATTGCAAATTATTAAGTGTGCGTTAGGAATAGGTGAAATAAGCTATGCTTCTTCCTATTCCTTTTTGAACAATTTTAGTTTGTGATACTTTGATATAAGTTGGAAAGTCTTATATTATAAGGCCAAATTATTATTATTATTTTATTATTATTATTTCTTTTCAACGAACGACATTTGTTGATTTACGATATTTTTCCTTTGTGAATTTAGCATTGTTTGACCTGTTAAAAAAATTTTAAACTCCATGTCATTTATCACTCAGCAATTTGCTTCGTCACGGGTGCTCCTTTCACTACTCATTGTGATCTTGTTAAAGTATCTTTCCGGAGTTTTCCACAGAAATTATGTATGGTTTTTCAGAAATCCGTAAAAGTGATTATCTTATCATGTACTGTGATATAATGTAAGCAATACGCCTTGTTTTGTTTTTTGTTTTTTGCTAAGCACGCCCCCTGCCCCGCAGAGCTCCGTGCAATAGGAAACTGAGCGCGGACCAGGACTAACCAATAGCGTTAGACTACAGCTTAGATACTTCAAATTTAAGGAATACCTTGGCTGATGAAGAGTTGATGAACTTTTCACGAACAAGAAAGTCTCTAAAATATAAATATATGAGAACAAAACATGACATGAGAATAATATTCGTAAAACAGCGTGTTTTAGCTCTGTTGGCTACAGAAGCACATTTAAAAACAGAAACGTGAAGTCGCCATCTTAAAAAAAACAGAGCGACATACTTTTTGTGTGATATGCTTGTCAGCCACTAGATGGCGCCATCAGATAAGAAAAATACTCCAGAAAGAGACTTTAACGGCCATCACTCCATTCCTGCAGGTTCTTACATTGGTACCAATTTATTTACAAAACAATCATCGGTAGAACCCCGTCATATGTTCGCTCATTACTCATCACTTCCATCAACCAGCACAATTTATGTTCCAGTAACTTAATTTCAATGGTTATTCCCAAAGCTCGCACCTCCTTTGGCCACTCCTCATTCCAGTTTGCTGTGTCCAACGACTGGAATGAGCTGCAAAAATCACTAAAGCTCACTACCTACATACCTACGTTCTACCATCAATAATTCATTGCGGTCAATAGTTTCTGATCAATGTGCCTGCTTCTGAGTACTTAAAGATAGTGTTAAATCTGTTTTCATTGCTTTTACATATTAATATATGACAGTTTTATCTTATTTTTATCTTGTTATGTTTTTTCATTGATGTGGAGCAAACTGTGTGTCTGTTGCTGCTGCTTCTTGGCCAGATCGTTGTTGTTTAAATGAGAATGAGTTCTCAATCGACTCATCTGGATAAATAAAGGTTAAATTAAAAAAATAAAAGGCGGCCAAGGATTTGCTGGGCCGACGCTCAAGTGTAGGCTACACGGTGCTGGGCCTCACCAGGGAGGCAAAGAAGAAGGCTATTAGATCTGGAACTGCGACCACAGAAAAATCCACAAGGTAGCTATGGATGAAGAGGTCTGATTTGTGGGCAAGAGCTGCTGAGACGCGGGCTGGGGTCTGATCAGCCCTGGTCAGGTTGCCTAGGCTAGGGTGTCTGATGTTCGAAAAGACCTGAAACACCCAATGATATCAGGTTACACCACTGATGAGGTGTCCCAGAACTTCCACAAGAGGCATTTTACAACTACATATTGCCAAATGAAAAGAAAAAAACTTTTGCTGTTAAAAAAACAAAATTTTATGCTGCAAGCATTAATCTAACCCAGCTGTGGTGAGCCGTGTTAGGGTTCTTTTGGTGAAATCTGGCTCCTGTGTAGAATTGTAGCTGTGACCAGATTCAAATGAAAACCACCGCTCATATTTGATGCTTGTGTGTGTGTGTGTGTGTGTGTGTGTGTGTGTGTGTGTGTGTGTGTGTGTGTGTGTGTGTGTGTGCGTGCGTGCGTGCGTGCGTGTGATCCAATGCTGACTGAATCCTGCTGTAGCTGTAAAAACTTCACACTGTAAAGCTCGTAAAGCTCAGCGCACCAACAGAAACTTTGTTTAAATACAACTAAACATATCCTACAACCGTGTCTACACACTGTTCTATACAAAACGTATAAAAGAGGAAATTGTATACGTGGCCATGCAATGACCTCAGTTATAAACATGCATGTGTGCGGTCCAAGTATTCTGATAGCTCACATAACTGACCCATCACCAGCCTTGCCTTTGAGTTTATGTTGAGAGGTCAGAACAGAGCTGTGCAGCCTGCTTGGTGAAACGGTTCCATCCAGTAGAAGAACCTCAGCAGCGGAACGCCGTGAGGGTTGAGAATTTAAATCTAAATCATTTGGATTTGAAACTGTCCTGGGAAAGGTAAATCTAGACTTTTTATACTAACACAAGCTGAGTTTCGTCTCTCAGTGTCTGGGATGTTTCCAATATTCAATATGATTTCTTAGTTGTAATCCTTGACCCTGTAGAAAATGTGTAACTATTTTTTTGTGGGTAAGTATCTGCAAAAGCACTCTGAAAAAAATAAATGAATAAAAAAAAAATTATATATATATATATATATATATATATATATATATATATATGTAAGTATCTGCAAAGGCACTCTGAAAAAGATATAGATATGTATATATACACATATGTGTGTGTGTGTGTGTGTGTGTGTGTGTGTGTGTGTGTGTGTGTGTGTGTGTGTCATGAAAGAATATGAAATTAAATATGAAATTGCAGCACATGTTTCTACAGTGCTCAGTCTTTTCTGGGTATATTTTCTTCTCACACTTGTAAAATAAATTATTTAACTAGTCAATGGATTGTATTGGTTAGGATACCAAATTATGAAAGCAAAGGCTAATAATCAATTTGGGATCACAGTGATTAATTTGAAGAACACATTTTCAGGAAGTTTTTAAAATTAGTTTCAGTAACACAGCACAAAAATTATTAGTTTCTAACTATTTCTCTTATGTAACAATGCTTCCTGGCAATTAATCATATACAGTAGGATGCAAAAGTTTGGGCAGTCATGTTAATCTTCATGATTTTCCTGTATAAATCATTGGTTGTTACAATAAGTCACTTCTCAAATGTCACTGTGTGTGAGTCCTATATGATATATTTAACTGAATATTTTATCATAACAACCAGCGATTTATACTGGCAAATAATGAAAATTCAACTTTTGCATCCCACTGCACTGAAAAGCCTGATTAGTCACTTTCACTATAAGAGTCAAACCATTTCATTTCAATTCAATTCAAAAATACTTTATTAATCCCAGAGGGAAATTGATTGTAGTAGCTCAGAATAATAATAATCAAGTCATCAAAGAGTTATTGTATATTACAATGGCTGCTGGCAGGAAGGATCTCCAGTAGCGGTCAGTGTTGCAGCAACACTGAAGAAACCTCTGACTGAAGACACTCTTCCGTTGTCGGACAGTCTTGTGAAGAGAATGCTCAGGGTTGTCCATCATTTTCTTGATTCTCTGGAGAATCTTTCTTTGCATTATCTCCTCCAGTGGTTCCACAGTTGTCCCCAGAACAGAACCAGCCTTTTTTATTAGGCTGTTGATCCTTTTCAGGTCCCTGCTTCTGATGCTACTACCCCAACAGACGATGGCTGAAGAGATTACACTCTCAACAACAGACTTGTAGAAGATCTGCAGCATCTTGGTACAGACACTGAAGGACCTAAGCGTCCTCAAGAAGTGCAGTCTGCTGTGTCCCTTCTTGTAAACGGCTTCGCTGTTCTTTCTCCAGTCCGGTCTGTTGTCCAGGTGAACTCCAAGGTATTTGTATTCCTCAACCACCTCCACTTCTTCTCCCATGATGGAAACAGTGTTTGACTCCATGCACCCTGTTTCTTCTGAAGTCTAAAATCATCTCCTTTGTTTGTATTCTGAGCAGAGAAAAACAAGATTGTGATCCAATTGTCCCAGAGGAGGTCTTGTTTTGGACATGTATGCATTCTTTACATTTGCATAACACAAATCCAATGTCTTGTTTTCTCTGGTGGAGCAGCTGACAAACTGTTGAAATGTTGGAAGTGTAGCAGAGAGCAAGGCATGAATCACCAGATATAGCCACAAAGGCATTGGGGTGCTGGGTTTGTAGCTTAGCGACAACGGAACTGATGGCATCACATGCATTTTCAGCTATGGCTGAAGGTGGAATATAAACTGTTGCCAAGACAACACTGGTGAACTCTCTTGGCAAATAATATGGGTGACAACTTACTGCCAGGAGTTCAACATCTGGGCTGCAGAGACGACATTTCACTGAAACATGACCTGGATGGCACCATCTGTTGTTGACAAGCACTGCCACTCCACCTCCTTTGCTTTTCCCGCCCCTCTTCAGATCTCTGTCTGCTCGTACAGTCAGGAATCCTGGCAGAGAGACGCTGGAATCGGGGATATGGTCCTGCAGCCATGTCTCAGTGAAACACATAACACTGCACTGCCGAAACTCTGGCTGAGTCCTTGAAAGGGCTTGGAGTTCATCCATCTTGTTGGCCAGTGATCTCACATTGCCCATTATGATTGATGGAAGAGATGGTTTGAATTTCCTCTTTCCCTGTCCCCGTTTTGCTCCCGCTCTGCACCCACGCTTCATTTGGGATTTGTGGCTTCAGTTGAGGTATTATTTCAGTATTTCCAATGTTAATCAGCTGCTCCCGATTGTAAACCAGCTTGTTGCCATGGTTACACATAATAACAAATACTCAAAAAGTGAAAAAAGTGGAAAAAATAGCAGTAAAAAATCCTCCTAGCTTCACAGCACCAGAAACAGAAAAGTAAAATGTCCAAAAAAATACTGTTTTTCTTGTGAAACTAGAAGAAAAAATGTCCAAGAAAAGGCAAAACTTACATATAGTCAACAGAGCTACTCCAACATGCAGCCACCCAGAGCAGCGCAGTTCCGGAATTTATTAAGAGTTTGCATGGTTACATAAAACATTTGTCCTTATTTTCTGGGTTAAGTTTAGTTTCTGTTGTTTTACAGTGTAGCTACATGTGGCTGTGCTGTATGCATATCTGACTCTCCATCCCTTTCTTTCCCTCTCTGGTTTGCCTCATAAAGAAAGTTGTGCTTTAGTGCGAAGGGCCGCTTTGAGGTGTTGTATTACGCGATGCCTTTGGGGGTCTCATAAATCTTTTAGAAAGACACGTCAGGGAACTCTATAGGTTTCCTCTGTGGATGCAACATCCAGGAACCTGATATATGTTTGGATGTGGAGCAGTTTATGCTCAAATAAAACTTATAGAAATACAGCTCTGTTGAATGTCCTCATTAACACCTCTAAAAAATCACATTATAATTAATCCTCAGGCTGAGTTTGACAACAGTACAGCACTTGGTGCCAATCTGGATATTGTGTTAGTTTCAGTCCAAATATAGAAGGAAAACCCTGCACAGTAAAGTTTTAAACTTAAAAACAAGGTTTGATTATAAACCAGATTACAGCCCTATCTGTGTAAAAAGCCTTTTCTGGTTCACGTCATACAAAATAAGTCATATCAAGTCAATCTATGTGAAGTCTGCAGGTCTTACGTGTGCATTGGGCATGTCTTCACAAAGTAATGAAGCAATGACCTGACCATTTTAACTGCAATTTTGACTCATTTACTGGGTTTGATGGCTGAAAAGATGATGCAAAACAAAAGTTTAACTATGTTGAGATACTTGAGCCACAATATGGACGAAAATTGGGTTCTTTGAACTTCTTTTACCCCCAATTTGTTGTCTGACTTTATATTTTTCTGGTTTGGATAGTCACCAGGAGTTAAGTGCTCGCCCCGTAATTGGAAGGTTGCAGGTTCGAGCCCTGCTCAGTCTGTCGCTGTCCTTGTGTCCTTGGGCAAGACACTTAACCCACGTTGCCTGCTGGTGGTGGTCGGAGGGACCGGTGGCGCCACTGCTCGGCAGCCTCGTCTCTGTCAGTGCGCCCCAGGGCAGCTGTAGCTACATTGTAGCTCATCCCCACCAGTGTGTGAATGGGTGAATGACTGATTGTGTGGTTAAGTGCCTTGGGGGGGGGGGGGGGGGGGGGTCGGTCCAGGACTCTAGGAGGCGCTATATCAAAATACAGGCCATTTACCATTTACCATTTTACAAGTACGTGACTAACATAACAGTCATAATGCTTAATTCTAGGTTTTTTTTTTGGCTGAGATTCTAATTATTTTTGTGGTAATTCACATTCTAATTTATATATCAGATCAGTCAGGAGCCAGCATGAACAGTCTACAATCCTGAAGTGAACCGCATGAGCAGTAGATGTGATGTCACAAGCAGCACGCTGTGTTTATGGGAGTAAACATGGATACTTCACTGGTCTGATGTTGTGTAATCTCGGCTGAAAAGGTTATGGTCAAGTGACGAAGGGAAGCTTTTTCTATTCATCTTTGTGTCTCCTACGACACAGAACTGAGATTTGTCACTCTTCAATTAAGTCAGAGTCAGATAGCAACAGTTAGGATATGAAAATGGATACACAACTGATAAATGGAGATTTCTATAGATCATTGTCACATGATTCTTTATAACACTGTTGATCTGGAGAAACCTGTCACCTGTTTCTACATGTGTTGTTATCAGAACAGTGGACAAAGCTGAAACTGATATTTCATAAAAGAAGTGCAAACCTCAAACAAAACAATCCAAGCAGACTATGTATTAATAAATAGTTATGTCCAACAAGAGGAGCATTAAAGAACCTGCTGGGACAATTCCCATTTTACTAAATCTAACCCTTTACCGCTGTCATCCAGATTCATAAGGCTGAAAACCGGTGAAAGGTTGACCATTGTGGCCAAACCTCCCAGCATATTGCATAGTTAGATAATACAATCAAATACAGAGGAGAAAAGAACAAATAAATCTTGAAAATTAATCACGGCTGAAGTTTACAATCATTATTATCTTCAACGGTTTGATTACACAAGTTTTGATTACAGCAACGGTCCCTTGTTCCACACTAGTAAACATATGATCTGATTGTTGGAGGTCTGCTGAAACTTCTCTTAGTAAGAGACCATAAACATCACTTCTGCAAGCCACAGCCACATGTCAGATGACCACAACTAAATAAGCACAATTACACTCAGAATGGCTGCACTGGAAAAGACTTCAAGAGTTTCATCTCAACCACAGCTTTTCACTTTCCTTCCTTTTTTGGGTCTCTCAAACCGAGTGCACCCACATCCAGCCTCTGTGTGTGTGTGTGTGTGTGTGTGTGTGTGTGTGTGTGTGTGTGTGTGTGTGTGTGTGTGTGTGTGTGTGTGTGTGTGTGTGTGTGTGTGTGTGTGTGTGTGTGTGTGTAAAGGTCCTACCTCCCAGAACACTGAGTGTTATAACCTCTGTGTGCTCTGCCAGCAGATCAGCCTCAGCTATAGCAGCCAGGGAGAGATAACTGGACATGTTCCTGCTCAGTTCGCGGTTTCCCCTTTGCAGAAAGCGCACTGCCAATGGGACAGCCAGCACCATGACGGACGGACAGCTGTAGTTCTGTGGTCAGTTAGGAGAAAAAGACACTTTAATTAAAATTCACATGATCAAGTGTTGTCCTGCTAAATACAACAAGGAAACACACACTCAAACACTCATGATTATCTGGTTTTATTCATTGATTTCTCTCTCTCTCTCACACACACACACACACACACACACGCACGCACGCATGCACACACACACACACGCACACACATGCGCACACACGCGCACACACGCACACACACGCACACACACACACACACACACACACACACACATACACACAGAACTGGACCTAACTACATGAGCAATAAGAAAACATGAGGCTTTATTACTTTTAAACTCATAATCACTGATGACTATGAATATGTTAACTAACCACATATGTGCAAAACAATAAGAAAATAAGTTTTGCTTTTCTCTGCTGATGTGGTTAGAGTCCGCGTGGAAAATCATGCTCACATTACAGACGTACAGTACAACTTAGAATTAAAACATCGTAGGAGCTCACAGAGTGAAGAAAATGTGATAGTGGCACCCTCTAGAGGGCAATCTAACACAGGACATATGTTCTTATTCTAAATATAAATGTTAGTGTAACATGCTTAGAGGTCTTCTTGTTAGTGTTGTACCACAGTTTGGCCACAAGATAGCGGTGCAGTTCCTTTAATAAGAAAAAAAAAATTATTCATTTTATGTAATCCAGCAACACTAATAATGTTTAGTGTATGAAACTACTAAATTAGTTTGACTATGCAACAACATTCACGCTGAATTAGTTTTATTGTGTGTTAGTCACTTTTAAAACCACATGAAACATTAGAAAGTGTTTCACTGTTTTAACCAAACCAATATGGGTCTAAAATACATTAAAGAGCAAGTCATCCTCTACCTGAGTCTAACTCCACTCTCAATTCATGTTTGAAAAATGCAACAAATGCTGTTGCCTGGCAAACCGAGAAGGCGGAGCTGCTAACACATACACACACACACACACAGGCTCAAGACAGCATTGTGACATCATAATGTACCAGTTTACATCATAGCATACCTCTTAGCCAATAGCGGTGGCAGATTTAAATTAAAATACAATGCAGAGTTTTTACCTGACAATGGCAGAACACTGCCAGTTTTAGGCAGAATATTTAAATTTTAACTAAGATGCACTGAAGTTCCAAATTATTGACGACACGTGTCTGCAGCAGGATTAGACACTCGTTTATTTGGTTTATCAGCAAAAAAAAGTTTATTTGGGGATGACTTGCTCTTTAAATAAACCTGCAGAGTTCTCCTCTAGCACTGATTAATCCATCAGTTCCGACTCCATGTTTTTATCTTCTCAGAGATAATTTTAGCCTCAGCACATTTCATGGAGCCCATATGGGATCCAGATGTCCTCATATCCTTAAACGTCCTGTCCGTATTTGCATTTCTCCGAGTGAGTGTTGCTTAAAAAAACACACGAGCTTGTTTTAAACATTTTGTTGAGATTCCCACGTACACGTGCAGATTTAAAGGATACAGAGGGAGAGGGAATTAAAACAGAGACAAGAAACCAGTAAGGACATCAGAAGGTTCTGTCAGAACTCTTAGTCCCATGATTAGTGTGTTGCTCTGTGTGTGAGAGGCTTTATGAGGCTCTAAGCCTCATTAGGACGGTATTAACACATTCCCATTCCTGAATTTCTCTGCATTTAATCCTTTCAGCTTAAAAGACCCAAAGAGAAAAACCAAGTGAGATTTATATTTAGAATTTTGATTCTTTCTGAAAGATTAGAATAGTTGCTATTAATGCTAAATCACATCTATCAATCATAATTGTGCATATTCTGTTTATTCCTGACTTTTTTGTACCAACATTGATGTAAAAGTCTGTGGACATCTGATTGGTCATTTTCACTTTAGCAGTAACAGGAACAATACTTCAGCTCTAGTAACCCTTTTTCTCACAGGAAGAGAGCAGCCTGCACAGCCGTGTTAATAGTCTACAAGAGTTTGGGACTGCCCTGCAAAACTGTGTGCATGGATCACAGACCAGGGATTTGACCTTTACTTCCAAACCTAAGAAAGCGCAATGGAATGGATCTGTGCTTCACTGGGGCATCACCTGACTGGAGTTGGTGGATGGTGACTAGCTAAAAGGTTTGTCCTAAACAAAAATCAGAGTACAGATTTATTTCAACTTTGCTTTAACATGCAGGGCATAAAGAAATAGCTGTTAAGTGTGATATCAGATCAGGTCAGTTAAATCAGTCTAAAACGTAAAACATTCCCTATTTCAGCCCAAGATTTGTTTGCTTTCATGTTTCTATTAGTTTTGTGTGACCCAGTTCCAAACGATTCACAAACAGGTCCCAGTCCTTGGCTGAGTGGTTGGGAATGCCAACCCAATAAGACTTTTTAAAGGTATAGCAGAGGACGTTTTTCTTCCGGGTGGGTCATCTGAAAAATTGGTCCGCATAACTGTCGATCATTCTGCTGAAGCTTTCACGCAAGGCTGTTGTTGTGCATGGTCCTTCCTAAGTTATTTTTTACTTTGTGCGCATTCTGTTTATGTGTAGAGCGGCACGCCTTCATTCTTCGCCGTTCTCAAAGAGTTCTTTTGAAAATGGCTGAGAGTCCCAAGGAAAAAAGTGTTTTCAAAGTCTATGATAAAGAGAGAAAGGCCTCCAAAGTGAGAAACAAGACCAGCATTTTTCCGATTACTGCTAATGGGCTCGACACACGGGAGGTGACATCGCCTCTCCTCCATTCATTTTCAATGAGACATGCGGGACAAAGCGATAATCGCGGGTCTCCCTCCTACCAAGCGAAACGCGAAAAACGTGCGTGTGAAAGTTTGCACTCGTGCACGTGTCGTGCACGGACGACCCAGCGACGCGATTCCAGAAAGTTGAAACATTTTCAACTTTTCATCGCTGTCGCTCGGGCGAGGACCAATCAACGGAGGTTTCATTCACTGACCAATGAGCGGACAGGATGCTCCGCACATCTCCGAGCAAACATGAAGGAGAAGTTGATTATTATTATGTTTTATATAGTAAAATCAGAAGTAAGATTTCACATAACTCTAGCAGTACCTTGTGAAACATCATATCTACCACTTTACTAACTCTGAACCGCTTAAATAACCTTAATTCCCTCCAACCTGACACAGCCAAACAAAACAACGGAAGTTTCGATTTCGCCATGGAACAGAACGCGTAGACGGCTTTGCCGCTGGCCGCTACCGCGGATCGCCTCCCGTGTGACAGGTAATAAAAGCGACAGCGACAAATTTCGCTGATCGCGGTCGTTTGTCGCCTCCCGTGTGTCGAGCCCATAAAAGTTAGCTGCAACATCGGCAGCTACTTGTAAACAAAGCGTGCACAAGGATTCTCTCTCATGCACATTTTTTCCAAAATGTGGCAAGGGCAGTGTTTCTTGAAATTTAGAAACATCCTCCACCATAACTTTAACGGTGACCTCACCTTAGTGGTTTAAAAAAATTACATAATCACTTACAGAAGAAATCAAGAGTTTTTTTCTCAGACGGCACCATCTGGTGGTGCATTGAGGTGCATCAAGTCGCACCTTAAGCTCCACTCCCTTCTTCCATGATTACTGCTGGAAACAATGCCACTCGTTTGTGAATGTGCGTCCTTGTGAGCACCTGGAGGAACTCTTTCAAGGGGGAAGTGTTACGATCCTATTCCATTGGGAGAAATTCCACACCCTTCCTTTCAGTAAACAAATTACAGTGCCAGTGCGACTGGAGGATTGGATGCTTGGGATGTCCCAGCCAGCGCCCCTCCACCTCTTCGTTAGCCTGGCTTGTTTACAGCCTGTAAATTACAGGCTGTAATTGCACTGAGTGGCTGCACCTTTGATTGTAGCATAAGCCTTTTCGGCGCAATTTCAAGAGAGATCAGGGTGGTTGCAAAGATCACCTTTGGAGAGCAACCGCCTGTTAGATAGCTGTTTTTACTAAAAATACTCAACAACTTACACCATGTGTCAAGACTTCCTCCTTATGTTGTGGTCCCAAGACATTAGCCGTAACAATTGCTAGCTGGCTAAGAGAGCTAAAACACATTGTCATTGTTCTCATGTTATGCTGTTTATTTGGATATACTGTATATACCGTATTTATATTTTTTAGACTTACGTGTCTATAAGAAATGGTACAAACTCTGCATCTAGATCAAGCCCCCATAATACTGGTATGAAATTAAAGCCAATAAGGAAGTGACAAAAATTGCAGTTCCACCCTCATCCACTAGGGGCTGGTGTCAGAAGCGAGCAAATCCTCATTGACTCCCATGTTAAAAATACCAATTTCAATGCAGAAATAAATATGTTTACAGCCTGGTACCAAAACATGTTTTTTGTTTAAATGATCTAGTTTACACTCATGACAACTTTGAGGGGGGTGAATTTTTTGTCACTCGTCTGTTTAAGTGTAATAAATGCCTAAAATTCTGAATAATTAATGAGCATCAGACCCACGTGACCGCAGAGCTAGCTCCGGGGAAGGCCACAGTCTGAGCCTCGGCCTCGCCTGAAAACTGTTCCACGATTTTCAATCTCTCAACTTAGACCATTAGTTGTAGCGTTTGTGCGTTCTTTTTTGGATATTATTTGTGCAATTGTTGGACAAAACAACTTGCTGTGGTATTAATTGCACTAATAGAGCGTCCAAGGAGTCTCCACTTCATTTTTTCGGTAAGTAAAATTATATTTATGTATTTTGGGTCACTGCCGAGCTGAGCTTAGATTTTAACATGTACTGTTTAACCATGAAATTTAAATGTAATAGGGTAAATCCCAGTGCATTTAACATAATGCTGCACTTTAGAAAATGGGTTGAAATATAACATGTTGGTGGAGCTGGGTTCCGACTATCGGTATGGTCCCCTCCCCGCAACTCGGCGCATCTCTGATCGCCGCAGCGCCTGTCTGCTGCACGGCTGCCGGCTTGTGGAGCTCTCGGATGGAAACCGGTGTTTTCCACCCGGTTCTCCCCAGCGGCAGCTCTGCGCATCTCTGATCTCAGCTACACCTGTCTGCTGCGCGGCTGCCGGCTTGTGAAGCTCTCGGGAGACGTCTGTGTCCCACCCGGTTTTACCCAGCGGTCAGCCCGGCGTATCTCTGACTCAGAAGCTCCGGTGTTGTGCACAATTAACTCCGATTGTAGCTAGGTTGCTACCTCTGTTAGCTTAGCTCCCACCTCCGCGTTAGCTTTGGGTTAGCTTGTAGCTACATTGCTTCAGTTCGACCAGGTGTCGTCATTTGATCACAGCCTTACAGCCCCACCCTTAGCTCCACCTCTCTTCCCTTTTTTGGAATTGTCTGGGCTTGAAGGAACCTGTGACACGGACAAAATGGCGGTGATGGCCACCTCCCATTTTGACTTAAAAACGTATTATTGGAGCCTATGGACACGCATTGTCCAGTATATATGTCGATGGTCCAGATCAGGACTATTCAATTCCAGGCCTCAAGGGCCAGTATCCAGCACTGCCATTTGAATTGCCCTGGTCTAGCTACTTTTGCAAATGTGCGCATGCGCTGTGATTGGCATTTATATGTAAGCTATTCGCTAATGCTGAGCGGCGCTTAATTAAAAATACATGGGGTTCGACAGGACTGGGGGGAGACTTAGAAAGAAAATTGACCAATTTCTTAAAGTATATCACAGAAGACTGTCACCTTTAAAAAATTATTAAAAATCATATAAATTTTCCTGACCGGGGGGGGGGGGGGGGGGGGGGGGGGGGGATTCAAAATTGCTGATTTAATTCAAAATATCACATCCATTCACCTTTTTCCAGGTATTGACAAGTAGGCTATCTATCTATCTATCTATCTATCTATCTATCTATCTATCTTCTAACATCTATCTATCTATCTATCTATCTATCTATCTATCTATCTATCTATCTTCTATCATCTATCTATCTATCTATCTATCTATCTATCTATCTATCTTCTATCATCTATCTATCTATCTATCTATCTATCTATCTATCTATCTATCTATCTATCTATCTATCTATCTATCTATCTTCTATCTATCTATCTATCTATCTATCTATCTATCTATCTATCATCTATCTATCTATCTATCTATCTATCTATCTATCTATCTATCTATCTATCTATCTATCTATCTATCTATCTATCTATCTATCTATCTTCTATCATCTATCTATCTATCTATCTATCTATCTATCTATCTATCTATCTATCTATCTATCTATCTATCTATCTATCTATCATCTATCATCATCTCTCTCTCTCTCACTCTTTCTGTGTGTGTGTATGTGTATGTATGTATATAAATAAATATATATATATATATATATATATATATATATATACTGTATATATTCAAATTCAATTCAAAAATACTTAATTAATCCCAGAGGGAAATTAGAGTATATATATATATATATGGAGAGAGAGAGAGAGAGAGAGAGAGAGAGAGAGAGAGAGAGAGAGAGAGAGAGAGAGAGAGAGAGAGACGCTCCTTAAATGCTTAGAGCCAAACAAGTACACCACAACTAAGTGAATCTTGTGTGTGTTTCACCTGCAGGATACAGCTGGTGATGTCAGAGGCTATCTTTGCATGTGGTGTGTCTTCTGTGTTTTCCCCTTGAGGGGTCAGGTTGTGTTCCAGACACGACTCCCACAGGCCCACCAGCGCCTTGCTGTGCCGCTCAATGGAGCCGGTCTCTCTGATGGCTGTGGTGATGCGTGTGATGCAGATCTCCACCACAGCCTGATCGTTGTCGTTGGTCAAATAGTCCTGTTATCCAGCAACAGGAGGCAAAATATATTCAATGACAAACTAAAGTCAAAGCACATTAAATGAATAAAGCATAGAAATTAACAGTGCCAGACAATGTTTTGCATAATTATCAAGTCTTTGTGTGTCCGTTTAGTTCATTTTAAATATCTGCGCTCACCGGTGAGCAGGAGATGTCCTTGATCTGGTCCAGAGCTTGAGAGAGACAGTGCTCGATCTCTGTGTCCTCTAAGGAGAACAGATCTCCTGCTCTGGACAGATCCCTCTGACCCAGCACCTGGCTGAACAGATGGTGCATTCTGACCCGGATGGAGGAGCCCTTCAAGACCAGCTGATGCTGCGTTTATGATCCAGTTTTTGAGAAGCAGTGAAACATGATGCTCCAGGAAAATCTTGGTCCAGATGTCTTTTATGTTTTAAAACATTTAAATAGTTTGAAACATTTGTTGTGTTTCAATCACTAAACAATAGAAGGTCAATTTCAGGGCTATCTTTAGACACTTTGAATCCAGAGATCAGGTACCCTGGAAGTGACCAGTTGGATCCAAACTCTTCTGTCTCTGAGTCCTGTTTCCATTGAGATGAGGTGTATTCTGGAGGTCGGAGTCCTGTAAGAGATGGAAAGCAAAGAAAACTTCAGTGTTCTATCTCAACACACACTGAATAACAGGCTAGTGGGTGTTAGTCTAGTCTTTGTGTCAGCTGCGGTGTAGACAGCTGTGCATGCTTCACGATTATTTTCTCAAGGGACTTTTCTCATACTTTTCAACTAACGGAAGCAAAAAACGAATCTACGTAACTTGTACTGAATATAAACAAGTTTGTGTTTCTACATATTTATCTACATATATCAACACATTTATATGTCTGCATAAACCCTCACAAGTAAAGATTAAATTTTGTATTCGAAGGTGCAATGTTTTGCAGCCAGGAGCACATCCCTTGAAGGAGCACAGGTATTAGCATCACCCGTGAAAATGTATTTGCAGGAAAGAAATGTGTCCCATTTATTGAAGTCTTTTGTCATATGCAATTAATTGTTCAGCCCTTATTCTAACCATACATAACCATCAATACTTAAATCTTCACCTGAGCTCTGATCTTACAATAACACAGCTAGTGTGGCTGAAATGACTAAAGCTGAAAACTGAATATTCAGGTGCGGCAGCACTTTTTACTCATGTGTGATGGAGAGCATCCTGACATGTTCCACAATTGTCTGGAATGGGACTGCTGTGAGGCTGACAAGAAACAAATAGTGGTAAAAATACACCAACAGCAGCCACCCTCCTCTAGAGGGCATTTACAGTAGATGCAAATCCAGAGCAAAGACAACAATGGCTAAATAATTTAAAGTTTACCTACTTTTACTTTATTTTCTTTGAAAATGTGAGATATTACATTATTTTAAAAAAACTATTGTCACTCATCATGATTTCAACAACACTTTCCATGTGATAGCTTTATGTGTTTAGGGAAAACTGGAACTTTTATACATTAGCTGCATGCATTTTGAATTTGTAATTTATAGGAAGACTTTGTAACAAAAAAATCATGATAATAATAAATATAGAAATATTGTGCAGCCCTCAAACGACATGAAGACTGTACTGTCTCTATTTTCTGTGCCAATAAATTCTGTTTAGGGTCACTGGGAGCTCGGCTTGGGTAGTATTACTGTATAGCTGGTGTTAAAAAATAGCAACGGTCAGTTCCAATACCATCATGACAAAAACAGTGCACATAGGAGACAAGGATTAAAAAAAAAAGAAAAAAAGATAAATAAAATAATTTAACAAATAAAACAGAAGCATGAAATTTTCAGTTTTACTTAAATAGTTTAAAAAGTTTTGTCCAACTTTAAAGACACTATAAAGTTTATGAACGTGATGCCATCATGTGACAGCACGGAGATGGCATGCTGGGAGAAAAATGGCAACTGACTTGATGTCTTAAAAACAACACAACTTCTATAGTTTGCGAGTATTTCTGGTTCAAAGCAAAAAGAGAGCAGGTAAACACTGATGAGGTAATTTGAACTAACAAAAGATGACAGCAAAAGACGCACGTCCTGTCGGAACCGCAGAGGAGTGAAACAACAGACTTCTATCTGGAGCCTGTTATCAAAAAAGATGACAATGCGCTTTTCTGGTTGAAAAAAAGCTGCCAGCCTTACCCAGATGTCACGACTAGCACCAAAGTAACCAGGTGTCTGCCACAAGCCCATCAAAGTGGGTTTTCAGCAGTCGGATGTTGACGCCGGAAAAAGTAACCATTGTAGCGTCATGAATGTCCTGTTTTTGACCTAAAGGTCATGATCTGCTGCGTCTGCTCGAGCAGAGACAAAGTCTCTGACACAGGCTAATCTACATGAGATAGTGGCCAAGGTCTTTCATGCACTCTGCTCATCTGAACTGCTTCAACTTTTACAGCTCAAGACGAAGACGAAGAACTCTTTTGATAAATACATAATCAAACAACTTTGTTATTACCAATAATAATGTGAGCCCAATGTTGAATCAATCTGTGAAATGACAATGTTATTACTTGATATTATAATCCTGTGATCAGTAGTATTTTACAAGTAATTATAATCTTGGACATTTGCACTAGACACTGATGACACGTAATGCTAAAGTCACACGACACATTTATTTTGTCTAATCCAATCAGAGTCTTCGTTTCTGACGGAGGCGTGGCTTTCTGTGGTGTTTGTATAAACCCTCTTTTGCATGTCAAATTCTAATTCGCCAGTAAACCAAAATATGACAATTATAAAAACTATCCCACGCCACCTTTTCTTTAGTTCAAAGCGTTCTAGAGAAGTCTCGGACAGGCCATCTGGACTTCCTCTTCAGCCAAAAGAACCTTGACAAGCTGGATAAATCTGTTGCAAGTTACACCTGACCACAACGGTTCCTTCAGAATAAAAGCTGAACCTCATGACCCCTTCAGGGTCTCGCTGACGCCAATAACCTGTCATGGCCTGGAAGCATTCCAAGACTAGTTTGGTCGGCACCGCTGCTTTTCTACCGGCTTCGGTTCCAAGGAGGGTCCAAAAGGACCTCGAAATTCTGGATCTAAATAGAGGCTTTCCCTGGGGTATGTAGACCAACAGATGGCGTTTCATGTGTGTTATAAATCTCCTACTCCTACTCTCCTACTGGAAGCATCAGCGGCCATGAAAAGAAAAAGGGACATTTTGTCCTTTTTTGCCGCTGTTAATAAAGAACAGCATAGACAGAGAGAGGATGAAAGTCACGAGGGAGCTGAGAAGCAGGATGAAAGAGAGAAGGAGGAGTTGGTTGGAGAGGAACAAGAGAGGTCAGAGACTGTCCATCCTGAGAGTGAGGAGGAAGATGTAGGCTGTGAGGAAGAGAGAGAGGAGCAAAAAGAGGGACATCTTCTGTCATGTGCACCGTGAACACTATCGTCAGGTTTGTGGGTGCTGAACAACCCCTCTGTGATTGCAGCTCATATTGTGTGTAAAATGCATTTGAGGCATGCTGACTCTGGACCAAAATTTCTGTTGTTTATATTTAATAAATATATAAAATAAGACTCTGAATTAACTAATTATGACTTTTATCCTCATGCTAACATTTATTTTCTTTCAGATATCAGCAAGTGTAAGGATGACCCACCTACTCAGCATCATTTGAGGACATTTCCAGTGACATTAATAAGAGACAGAAGACGCAGCTTTCAGCCTAGCTGGTATGGAAGTCATCCTTGGGTTGAATATTCTGTTACTATGGACTCTACTTATTGTCATACATGCAGACATTTTAGCCCACCAAGTAGCGCAGGAAGTGTGTTTCACTCATTATGTGGATTTAGGAACTGGAAAAAAGCAACTGAGAGAGGAGGGAGGTTTTCAGTACATGCAAAGTACTTTTGTTACAGCTTTATATAATGCTGCTCTGTGTGTGTGTGTGTGTGTGTGTGTGTGTGTGTGTGTGTGTGTGTGTGTGTGTGTGTGTGTGTGTGTGTGTGTGTGTGTGTGTGTGTGTGTGTGTGGACTACAAAAAGCACTGCGCTAAGAAATTGTATTGTGCACATATTTTATTTGTATGGATGTTTATTTTTCATACGTACAGTACATGTAATCTTCAAATAAAGTCACAAACTATCAAAATCAACTAGAATTATTTTTTTACTCAAGTCTCATGTTGCGGTGAAGCATTCAGAATTGTTATCTGAGTACCATAAAAACATGCCTGTTTTACTTTCACAAGTAAACCATTACTGCATTCGCTGTAATAGTTTACTTGTTCATTGTTTTTTATTATGAATTTATTTGAATCTTATTTTAGTAAAATACAGCTGTAAAAGATCATAGATGAAAAGAGTAAAGGAAATTTTTTGATAAATTTGATCCCCAAAATATAGTAAAAGATAGATGTAAAAAAGAAGAGAACAAAAAAGTGAGTAGTTTCACAGTACTAGGAATTTCCTTTGGTAAAATTGTGCACAAGCACAAAATCAGTCATATGGCGGAGACAAAAAAGAATTTTGATATTGCCCTATTTTTTCCCTTTTTTTTTTTCTTGCGACCCCATGAAAAATACTGGCCCCACTGTGGCCCCCCTGGAAAATTTGGTCTAGAACCGCCCCTGCTTGTGGAGAAGGCGCTGACGAGTTTAATAGAATTTCTTCGACTTCGTTTGAAGTGGTTTGTACAACAGGAGGAGTTTGGCAAGCTAGAATTCGATATAAAATCTCATCATTTGCAGCTAATTCACCCATTTCTGAAAGTCCACTCAGATCGAACCAGTCCGGTAGCACATCACCATTTTCAGTCGTATGGCTCATGATACAAAGATAGAAAACCTACTATAAACTTGATGAATGAAAAAAAAAAATCCTCGGTCCTCTTTTAATCCTCACAGGTTAATGTAGTGTCCTCTTTTAATCCTCACAAAGACAACATCTGCCACGATGTTGACGAGGCCATAGCTGATTTGAAGAAGAAGATACGCCATTTTCATTCAGTTTGTTCTTTGAAGATGAGTGAGCCGGCAATTCCTCCTCCGACGTAATTCTGGATGGATAAATAGAGAGAGTATGAGCGAATCATCATCTTTTAATAAAAACTTTATTTAACACTTTATTTCTGATCACTTACCGGGTCTCTGTGTGGCGGCGGGGGGAGGGTGTGGCGCGGAGTCCTCGTCGCTGGTTATCGACGGCTGTTCTGGATGGAGAAAAAGAGAAAGAGTATGAACGAATCATCATCTTTTAATAAAAACTTTATTAAACACTTTATTCTGATCACTTACCGGGTCTCTGTGTAGCAGCGGTGGGACGGCGCAGCGCAGCGTGTTGATCGTTGGTCACCGGATGCTGATCTGGCTGCGATGCCACACCCTCGTCACAGTGTCGATGTGTGGGTGGGATAAAGTCTTGACTTGCTGCGTATTGCTGTGATGGGTGGTCCTGATAGTGTGCGCTCCCTTCCTGCCCTTCTGGGAAATAAAATATTTCTCAGCTGAAAGGGACGTTATTAAATTACGTATAAAAACTCACTTACAGAGTTTATTCAAAGCTCTGTCCAGCTGACTGAACGCATCTTATGGGGACGGTGGGGGTGGGGGTGGCGGCGTGC